GATCTATAGCTTTCCAGACAATTTCCATTTTTCCATCAAAGCCAATAGACCACAAACAACAGGGTTATTGTTGTTGTTAGTGTTAAAGTTAGAAATAAATCTAGGAATATAGGTCATTAAGTGGTGAATTATTGTGTTTCAATTCTGGGCACACACTGAAGGAGACAATAGCAGAGCCAGAAGTTTACTATCTTTAATAAAGTAAGGAGGAGAGGGGTGGGCATAACCTCGCTTGGCCACCTACCCCTCCAGCGTCTGTGCAACAGAGGGGCACTGGGTACACTGATTCTTCTCTTGTGGTTTTGTAAGTGGGCACCCTTGGGAAGTTACTTGTCTTCCCCACTCTGTATGGGCTCTTACTATCCCCAAGCAGAAATTGGTGTATTTTGGAGGCACCTGTTTCAAGTTTTCTTAGGTATGGGGAACAAGCCCCTTGCATGTATCAGAAATTTCTTGCTCTCTTGAGCATGGGGAAAAAGCAAAGTTGACAGAATGGTTTGAGGACTTTTCCTATCCCCCCCCCCTTTTCTCTCACTGTGTGGCAACAGCCATTTTGCTACCACATACCACTGAAATTTATTTAATGTGAATGGACTCTGCTATGTTTTGCTTGCCTCTGTGGAACTTGTTTGTCCAATGTGCAGCGGTTTCAGGGAGGTAATGATTGGAAAACTATAAGTCACTTCATGAACCTATCCTGTGACATTTTGTTGGGCACATGGTCTCTCATGGTGGTGGCCATTTTGTTGGGAAGTTGGTGTCTCGGGGAAGCAGCCATTTTAGCACACAATGCACAAAAGATTTAGGCCACATTGCCCCTTTTGGGGATGACATGTCTTAATTTTGTTAATGACATGGTAGGTGCAATAATGGTAATACCACTCTCCAATGATATTTTAAATTCAAGTTTAAACAAAATAAGATTAATAATTGAAAGGTAAATAAATAATTACAAAATCTAGTTTCAAGCAACAGAAATTGTTAGTGTTGACTTTGTGCTATAGTCAACAAGATTAACAACAACAACAACAATAACAGTATTGTTACTAGCAGGTAACAGCAGACCCAAATAACTGGGTTGTAGGCACAAAGCACTTTTTGAATGAGACTAGAGATAAGGGATGTACAAATGAGAGCAATAGTGCAGGGTGCATCTGCAAGGACATCCTCAAACCACATGTATCGGCAATCAGTGATTAGTATAGCTCACAGTTTTTAAACCAACTCATTGTCTTTATCTTTTCAATAGCATGGCATTGCAGAAGAATACAGGGAGCCCAGGTAAAGGTTAAAGGCCCAGCTAAAAGCTCAGGTTAAGCACCTGCCTCCCCCAGTACTCACTTTTTCAGATGATGAAGGTCTTAGTGGAGAAATCCTCAGTGTGTGAGGACATTAGAAAGAAAGAAGGAAGGTCAGGCCCCCTTCTCTAGTTCCAGGCTTGCCCCGATTAGCTAGCAAAGCTCTATTGCTAAAAACCTTCACCACAGATCTTTCCACTTTAGAGGCTGAGGGCAATGCAGAGAGAGATGCCCCTGCAGGTCGGTCCATGGCCAAACTAGAAAGCCAGCAGGAGGTAGCGGAAGCAGCTGTGGCTGCACCAGAAGCAGGTCCATTGATACCAAGTACGAGTGAAAGCACAGTTTCATTAGGTAATAAAGAGGGGACTGTATGGCACTGGGGTCCACCAAACTCACTAGCTGAATTTTAGAACCTCGTGAGTTATCTTTCTTCTGTTAACCTTCTGTTAACCTTCTTCTGTTGGCCTTGGTCATGAAGCAGTCTGTGGTCAATTCCTAAAATAGTGGGTTCTGCGCAGCACCACTGGGACACTTCAACTTGGCTTCCACCAGAACCACCACAGATTAATACAATTGCCCATGGTGGTTACCTTGTTCAAAATACACTTGACAAAATATTAAGAGCTGAATATGTTGATAATATTTTCCCTTTTATTCAGGGAATTAGAGAAAAAGGAAGAAAATTACGTACATTATAATTATAAAAAAGAGAGAGAGAGAGAGAAAGGTAAACCGAAATTGGGCGAACTGGCTTACTGCTTTTTTTTTTATCTGTGCCGGTGTGCTCATAAAACCCTACCCAGCTAGGGTATTTTTGCCTTTTCAGTATTTAAGCATAATTTACATGGCATAGGTTGATTTTGCAGCCAATGCTTGGCTGATGTATGATGAATGCTTTAGAGTGGAAGTGGCTAAATATTCAACCCTACAGTGGAACCTGATAGACAATCAATAATGGATGCAGGTGATGACCACTTCCCCTCCTGTTAATGGTGAATTGGCTGATAGTGATAATATGGTGCAAAATTACAAAAGGAGCAATCCTTTTGGCAAGCCGCCCCACAGCAGCAGCAGCAGCAGTGTTTGCTTCATTGGGAATATTTGGCCCAAGGAGTGTGTTCATGCAAAGCTTGCAGATTCCAACATTTTTGTTCAATCTGCAATGGAGTACACTCCAACAAAAATTGCAACAACAGTAGATATTTCAATAGAGATGTGCACAACACCCCATAACATACAATTTTTTACTGTCCCCCCCCCCCCATTCCATTTTCTGGGAATTTCCCCAAACCAGAAGGGGGGTGCCATTTTTATTCCGGGAAGATTTGGTCCACTGCCCCACTGGGAAATTTTAGAGGCTAATTTCTCTGTCATTTTTAGGCCTTTCATGATGAAACTTTGTATGTCATATATATGACTGCAAGCCTGCCAAGTATCAGAACATTTCACCAATCAACTGATTTTGGGGATTTAAAAAGTTTTTAACATAACATTTTTTAAAAACCACAAGAAAAGATTTTTGGAGTTGAAGTCCCAACCAGTGCACATCACAAAGGGGGAGGAAAATGGGCATAGTCAACCAGGCCCCTGACTGCCTGAGAAAGAAACATGAGAAGCAGAGAGAGAAACATCAACTCCCATCATGGCCTTTAATGCCAGCGCCGTGCAAAGTGTTGCTAGGAAAGTGAGTTCCTGGCAAGGAACTCCCTGGAAAAGAGGCCTAGAGAAGCTGTTTCAGTCTTCTTCTTTTTTTGCTTTCTCTCTCTCTCTTTCCAGCCTTATGTGCCTCAAGCGGGTGCTCTGCTGGGGGGAGGGGTGGCTTTGGGGAAGGATGAAGCAGGCTACTGGGGAAGAAAGAAGAAGAGGAAGAGCTGCCACCATCAGGTGTTCGCTCTTGCCTGGTTTGTGAGGCCACCCACACCTTGCGACCTCTGCTCAGGTAGAGTGCAGCTCAGCTCCATCACTCCATTAGTTAAAAGATTTAGCTGCTTGTTGTCAGTTCTGGTTAAGGCTTCTGCTGGGTCCTGTCCAGTCCATTTTTAGCAATCTGGTAGCCAGATGACTGAATTTTCCTGAATCACCAAACAGCATTCAGCACACTCCTAACTTGGATGTCTCAACTCTGCACACTCCTAACTTGGATGGCCACTGCCTCAGCTTATTCCACACCATGTTCATACTCTTTAAGAATTGATTTGCAGGTCACAAAGAAAGTTAAATAGGTAACATTAATAAAGTTGCCCATAGTTATTCCATATGGTTGTGCAGGCCCGTTATTTCAATGGTGGAGGAACAAAGATATTATGGATTTTTAAAACAAATGTTAATGTTCTTTTATTAACCGTGCTTATTTTTTTAACAAATAGAACATTGCGTGTGTTTTAAATTATGCACGCCAATTATACTAATGGGATCAAAGCAGAAGAGTTTAAAAACAAAGTAATATATTATGTGCCAACAATTTTAGCTTTGTTACAACATAATTATTTTATCTAGTGCTGAAGAATTTCCCCTGATAATTCTAGTTTCTATACATAAATTATGCAAAACATTGAAGACCATTCACTCAGAGCCCCATATGAAGGGCCATGAAATAGAATTTCTGAAATAATATTTGTTTGCTGCATCAAAGGCATCAGAATGGACAATATTTCTGACTTGATAGGCAACTGTCTACTGCATTACTGATAGTAGAGAAAACTGATAATGAGGGGTTTTATCTGTTTACCTGTGTTTTATCAGATCACTTGGATGTTGATGGTCTGTAAATAATCATAATTGTGGGTTCAACTGATTGTCTGTAACAATTCTATATTCCTTTGAATTTGTTGCAACAGTTTATTTAAGTCAGTCATCCTCGAACTGCAGCCCTCCAGCTGTTTGGGACTCAAACTCCCAGAAGCCTTAACAAGCTTTTTCAATGGTCTGGAATGGTGGGAGTTGAAGGCCCAAACAGCTGGAGGGCTGCAGTTTGAGGATGCCTGATTTAAGATTTAGGTGAGCTGCCTTCTCCGGCAAACAGAACTGGTTTACTTCTCATCATGGGATGGGAGCATATCAGATCAACAATTCCAAAGGCAATTATTTTCCTAAAACATTGCCCAGGACTTTGAATTGTGTCCCCTTTCATCTGTTCTGGTTATTGACATAATTGGGCCATGGACAATAATCAGATGTGAGCCAGGTAGCAGAAAACACGGAGTCAAAATTGAAGAATGTTAATGAGGACTGAACAACAAGCAAAATGGAAGGAACAAGACATAGGGCAAGACTGAAGACAGAAAGAGAGTGAAGCGGCAGGATGGAAGGACAACTAGAGGGACACACACTATATTGTCAATTCCTCTTCTACTATGTGTTTAGAAGAATCCAGTGATCCAGCCCAGAGCCAAGGATACTTTCCAGAAAAGCTATTATCTATAGTTCAATGATTTACCACTGAGGTGAATGACTAGAATTCCCAATATCCATTCACATAAGATTATTTTACGGATGTATTTTTAACTGTTTAAGGCCCTAGAAGACTTTAAAATAAACGTATCATTCATAGATAATATTTACCCAAGAAAGCTTAACAAATGACTGCTTACTAGGCTGGTATCATTCATAGATAATATTTACCCAAGAAAGCTTAACAAATGACTGCTTACTAGGCTGGTATTTTTCTTTTCTTTTCTTTAATTTCTTTCTTTTTTAGGGGGGTGGGGGTGCATATTAGTTGGAGGCACTGCAATACCAGGTTGATGTGTCGAGTGGATGAAACAAGTCCCTATTCCATCTCCCAGACCCAAAAACCCATTTAATATATAGTCCTCAAATAGAGGATGTATCAGATGTTAAACTGATAAGAACAGATACTACACTTGATCTTAGTGAAAAGGCTGATAAAGTCAGTTTTAAATAATCACTGCTGTTTTGTATCTGGGCATTAAGAAAAGTACTGCTACTATTCCTGAATATGGAACATCAGACTGGTTCAAGATTGGGAAAGGCATATGGCAGGGTTGTATACTCTCACCCAAGCTATTCAACTTTGTATGCAGAACACATAATGCAATGTGCGGGGCTTGATGAATGCATGGCTGGGGTAAACATTGCTGGAAGAAACATTAACAACCTTAGATATGCAGATGACACCACTTTGATGGCCGAAAGTGAGGAGGAGCCGAGGAGCCTTCTAATCAAGGTGAAAGAAGAAAGAGCAAAAGCTGGATTGCAGCCAAACATTAAAAAACCAAAATTATGGCGACAAGAATGATTGACAACTTGGACCGCCAGAAGATCCAACCAGTCCGTACTTCAGGAAATAAAGCCTGACTGCTCATTGGAGGGAAAGATAGTAGAGGCCACATCATGAGAAGAAAGGAAAGCTTAGAGAAGACAATGATGCTGGGGGAAATGGAAGGAAAAGGGAAGATGGGCTGATAAAGGGAAAGATGAATGGATAACATCCTTGAAGTGACTGGATTGACCTTGAAGGAGCTGGGGGTGGTGACCGCCGACAGGAAGCTCTGACGTGGACTGGTCCATGAGGTCACCAAGAGTTGGAAACGACTGAACAAATGAACAATGAAAGCTGCTATTCCATGTCCCTAAAACATCTTGCATGCAGATGCATAAAGGATTAATTCTTTCCACATAAGGCTTGTCTGATTGCTTAAGTCATAGGCCCTTCTTGTGTTTCTTTTTCTTTTGGTGTGAACTTGGTGGTGACTAGAAAGGAGCCCTTTCCAGCTGAAGCACTTTTAGATATATAGTAATGTTGAGAGGTCTGGGGTGCTGCATTTTGGACTATCCCTAAATATACTATGGGACCATATTCTCTTTTGCACCGGGTTCTTTCATTCAATTTTGCTATTCTTCTTCTTCTTCTTCTTCTTCTTCTTCTTCTTCTTCTTCTTCTTCTTCTTCTTCTTCTTCTTCTTCTTGTTATTATTCTTATTCTTATTCTTATTCTTCTCCATTTCCTCTCTTAAAAGAGATTCAAAGTGGCTAACAATGCTAGTAAAATAAAATGTTCAATTTTAAACCTAAAACATAAACATGTTAACCGGTGCTCCTTACAGAGAGAGGTCAACCCTCCTGTTTAAGGAGCTCCACTGGCTGCCTTTCATTTTCCGGTCCCAATTCAAGATGCAGGTGCTTACCTACAAAGCCCTAAATGGTTTGGGACCCACCTACCTGCGTGACCGCATCTCTGCATACGAACCCACACGATCTCTTCGTTGATCTGGAGAGTCCCTACTTACGATCCCACCTGCATCGCAAGCGTGATTGGTGGGGACGAGGGATAGGGCTTTCTCGGTGGTGGCCCCTCGACTCTGGAACTCTCTCCCTAAGGATATCAGGCAAGCCCCATCACTGGAAATTTTTAGGAGGAGCTTGAAAACGTGGCTGTTCCAGTGTGCCTTCCCAGAATAAGGAAACTCCAAGCATTTTGTCCCCAACGCACTTTATCAGAGATTCAGGATATCTGCAAACCCATCCCTCTCCAAACACCTATCCTTTTCTCCTGGTCATGCCCAGCACTTTTTAATTTTAATTTTAGTTATTACATTTGGCCCTGCCATAGTTTTAAATTGCGTCATTGTGTGTTGCTAATGTTATTGCTTTGCTTTGATTTATTTTGCTGTATTGTTGTTGTTGTTGTTTTATTGTTGTATGTGGGCTTGGCCTCTTGTAAGCCACACTGAGTCCTTCGGGAGATGGTAGCAGGGTACAAATAAAGGTTTATTATTATTTATTATTATAAACATAAGAATACAATTTAACACAACACTCTTAAAAACAATTCAAATATATAAAACACTACAGAGCCCCCACCCCCAGCTTGGTCTTAAAACCTTTCTTCTTTAAAAGCCTGTTTGTATGGAGACATTCTGGCATCTCTAGGCAGGGAGTTCCACAGACAAGGGGTGGCCAACAGGAAGACTCTCTCTTGCATCCCCACCAACCATTCTTGTGATGGTGGTGGGATTGAGATAAGAGATGCTCATGAACATCTCATTGTTGGAAGATATGATATGCCAGATAGCCTAGACCAAAGTCATCTTGGGCTTTATTAGTCATAATTAGCACTTTGAATTGGTCCCAGAAACACCCTGGTCCTAGTGGAGCTGTTGCAGCAGGGGAGTTGTGCTTTCCCTGTAGTAATCTAGCCACAGCTCTAAGGAGAGTGAACAATCTTCAAAGGCATAGAGTGCATTACAGTAATCCAAACAGAATTAACTAAGACATATACCACTAGATCCGACGTCTGAAGGAACAGGTGCAGTTGATGCACAAGTTTTACATGTGCAGAAACTAAAGCCAGGTCCAGGAATATTTATTTATTTATTTCCTATATTTATACCCCACCCTTCTCCCCCCAAAGGGGGACTCAGGGCAGCCTAACAAAAGCATCATACGATGCTAGCATCATAAAAACAACCACAGTTGTTGTTCATTCGTTCAGTCGTCTCCGACTCTTCGTGACCTCATGGACCAGCCCACGCCAGAGCTACCTG